GAAAGAGCGAGGTACTACGTGGACCTTCGTGTTCGAGTATTATTCGTCAACCAGTTGAATTGTGAGGTAATTTGGTAGCTAGATGCTGGATGGTATAAAAAGGTCGGGGTTAAAGTGTCGGACGGAATTGTCACTGATAACCGGGGCTTAATTACGAGTAATGCACCGTGGTTAAAGATTTTTCTTAACCCCCACGTTTCTCTTTTTCTTCTTCCTCTTAATTTCGTCGCCTGCTTTCAGAGGGTAATTTAAGGGTGAACTGTGAAATTGGAAGTATCTCGCGAGATTTTAAGTTAGCGAATTTTGTGAATGGCCACGAATCGAAGGTCTTTAATTGAAATTATTTTGCACGGTTTCAAACCTTTCGTGACGAATTTTTTTATTTATGTAGAGATCTGTGGTGGATATTAAATTGAGATGAATTTTTGTTCGAGTGTACTCGAATGGAACGTATGTGTCCCATTGGAAACGAAAAAGTTACCGTAGTAACTGACTTTCTTTTTTAAATATCAATATTGGAAACGTTCGCAGTGGACTCGTATAATTCATGCATCAGCACACCTGACAATCGATACTTTTCTACGGTTAAATAGAGGAATAATTTATTTTTTCTATTTTCGTCTTTTTTTTTATCTTTTGTTTCATACATGAGTTAGTGTTACGAAAATTAATTTCGTCCTTGATATTTATTAAGGAAGCATAAAATTTGTTTAGTTGGTTTATAATTCCAAATTGGCACAATACACAAGTTCTTGTTTCAAATTAGTTTTCTATTATTCTAGTTAATGATACTTATCATCAACGTAGAAGATAAAGTCTGAAGTACTTATCATGTAAGTTATGCGTGCGTTATCTTTCTGCCTGTTGATCATAATTTTCTTGAAATAGCGATGTCAAAAATCAATTTAATATCTCCTTCTTATGTGTATCAATTATGTAACAGGCTTTTGATGGAATTTTTATAAATAGCACCGAGAAAAAGTGTAGCGTTAATGTAAAAGGTTGCTCTAATAGAAAAGAAGTACTCGTTTCTTCTAAAAGTAATC